CAATCGATTTGCCATCTTTACCTAGTACCCGTTTCCTAACAGGAGCATTGACTACATTTCTATTTGCATATAAACAAGAAAGAAGAAACACTATAGCCAATTGAAATTTATGAATTTCTGCAATGTCGTCTGTCTTTTCACAAAAGTTTCGCTGATAAGTTTGTAATTCTCATATATATGTAATAATTTAAAACGAGTAAAAATAGTTTCAGATATACCATTTTAGTACGAGAAGTATAAGTAAGAAAACAATGCTCTGTAACCAACTAATTGTCTTTGATTTATTACTGGTGTTGTAGTAATTGCCAATCAGTCTACGCATACTCTTAATTGTGGTGGCTGCGAAGGTTCATGAACAAGACAACTAGCACCAATGGATAATGGCTTCCCAATACCATGGATTGACTACGATTAGCAGCGTGAACTATTAGATGTTAAATCATTATTTTGAAGGTTAGATGCTCGTCACTGGACCTGTAAGTCTTGTTTTCTGTTCCGGTGTCGTCCTGGATAGACACTGTTGAAGATCACGAGTAAATAATATGCGCAACTCAGGAATTTAGTCCTAATTGCTAGTTCAGCATATTGATTTTTTAAATTATATACACAAACCAAGTTATTGGTTAGTGAATGTTGACTATTACCAGTTAAGTACATTTAAATGTATCTATTGATCGGACATTCAAAATGATATACATTCATTATACATTTTTAGACACATCAATCACACTCTCGTAATGAACCTGCAGTCGCGTATTAACTGGAGGGGAAGCTGGAAAGAACATTATGAACACATCCGAATATATTGTACTTGAGTAGAGCATGGAATAATGGTTCACAAATACGTTACTTCATGAAAAATTCAGTAATACACCATATAGTTTGTGTTGAAGATTAAACATTTTAATTCAGATAATAAGAGAGGACAATAATCTGGACCTTAATCATCATACAACAATCTTCTTTTTAGCCCTTATCGGCAGCGCACCTGAAATCCTGAGGTAAGATGATCGTTGTTGGATTCGACAAATTACCACTCAACTTGGCAGTCAGAGACGTTAACAGTGAGTTGTTTTTCTTAAGAACCGATTATTCACTGAGTGGTGGTCAATGACGTATCCGCCCTAGTGCTAAATGAATCCTGTAATCAAGTTGCAAATGACAAACTAATCCAAGTGGTCGACAGAGTCTCATCAACAATAAGAGCTTGATATTAAAAACATTGGTCACTACTCAGTAATAAATCAATTGCAAATACAATAACCGTTTGAAATTGCTAAAAGTTATAACTTGCAGTATTAATCCCATCTTTAAAAATCTACACATTCGACTACCACCTAGTTGAAACATATTATCAAGCGTCAATATATTGAGTATTCTACAAGTGTCGAAAATAACAGTGCAGTCCAGATATCAGGAACCGCCCAAACCCAACTAATACACGAAGAGTTTGTAATGGGATTGGTTCCTAACCACATAACTCTTGAAGCTAGACAGAATAACTAAGAAGAGTTGCTTTTGGTGGTTAATCATTTGGGGAAAGCCAGAAATGCTGAAGGCGGTAAGACTTAGTTAAGACGCCTTGGTTCTACCATTCAGATGTGGTCACTTTGTACAACCCCTTTTTCGTACTAAATATATTATCCAAGCCCCAACTCTGTGTCTTAGAAAGCATACTACTGACTGCTGCGACAGAAGAGACGGTGATGTGACTAACTAGTCATACCACTGCAAGTCCACATCTATGGAATATGTCTAGTACTTAAATAGCACAGATAGGCGCACTATTTGACAGCTTAGACTTGAACCCTAAAAGCCATGAACTGAAACAAACCACAGAAAGTCGTTATTAACAACAAATTAGAGAAAACCACGACTGTACTATATATTTTACAACCACTCTCTTCAAAACTCTTCTCATCAGCGCTGTTGATTATGTTACTGAGACACACATATCTTAAAAACGTGAGTGGTTCCAGTCGGTCAAATAAAACGACTAAGTTCCTCATGAAGCTCTGCCTGGAGCCCTTCTACGGTTACTGTCAGTCCCAAACCCGGATAAAGGAGGGTTTGGAATGCGGCTAGTAACCTTATCTTCTAGATTGCAAACTTGCTAAGAAAACGCTAACCAGGAGAACCGAGTGATTATTGTTCCTGACACACAATGAGCTCCAGACACGTGATTTACATAAGCACATCCCTCAAGGTAACGAGGAACGTGGATAAACGATTATGTCCAAAATTAATGACAATCTCAATTACCAACCAAAAGACCACTGTGATCTAAAATTGTCAGACATACATAACGGCATCCCAATGTAATGTAATATCGTCAGGTGAAAGGTTAAATAACAGCATATAATAAGTGAGACCTAAAAAAATTAGGTTAAGTAAAAAAACAAAGTAATAAGTACCAATATTTACAAAATCACTGCGCGAAATAACATAGGCCCAGTAAAGCAAATCTTATTTCGTATAAAAACTATAAAGCAAAAATAAACAAGCCACAATATTCAATGTAAATACTCAGAATACAAAAAGCGTCAACAAAAGTACATCGAAAATTTGAAGTATAAAAGAATTCATAGGTTAAATATTACCCAAAGTAAATACATGTAACAAAACAGAGCCCGAAGTAATGAAATGTGTGGGTTTTGGGTATTAGTTGCTCAAACGAAAGCAGGATACATCAGTTAGTCCAAATCAATTTGTAAAATGGTTCATTACAAATATTGAGAAGCGGATTTAATAGAACAAAAAAGGGATGGACGAACATTTTGGAGGGAATAATATAACAAATCTAAGTCAATAAGTAAAAACAAATAGACAATGTGAAAGGAATCAAGTCATATAGTGATGGATCAGTTATTTATGTTTGGTATTCTTTAAGTAAGCACGTCTAGCTAAGCGTTTGAAGTGCTCCCGTCGAGACAATAGACATTTTTTCTGTTCTTCCTTTGAATTACTTTTGAAGAGATACGAGTCTGTAGACAAATTGTACTCATAACATTCGCTCTCAACACGTAACTACAAAACAAAGAATTTACGATTTTTAGAGTTAGAACAGGCATAAAGTATGGTGTGTGGGAGTTCAGTTAACGGGTTGACTTTGATTTTGTAGGACAATGAAAGTCATTTCTTCTTTTAAACCAAGCACAAACAATGTTTGAATATATACTTTCAACTGTCTCTTCTAAACATTTTTCGGTAGTTTCATTGTATAGATGTTTGAATAAGTACCATATTTAGCTACTACGGATAATGTCTGAAATTTTACGGAAATAAGAATTAGCGGTAAAGTTTGATCAGTGACATTCATCAGAAAACTTAGCATAGGTTCGAGAAAGCTAAAATGACCTACATTAAGATGTGAGTACGATAACTATATAACACATGTCTACACGATCTTAGTACTGTACTCTATGAGATGAAGGAATAAAAGCAAATCTGCCTAATCAGTAACTTTCAATGAATCTACTATACTGTACTTTTCAAACAAATCCTCCCCCATTACGTACGACATCTGAATATGAGTGAGTGTGGGTACAAGCATGAGGATGTTACAGAAGACAAATGGATACTCTCCACCACAATCATCCACTTGATATATACATATATATATATATATATATATATATATATATATATATATATATATATATTAAAGGGAATCAAAAGATAGTGTTTACAAAGCGTATACATAGATACAGTAATGGTTAGGTGATATGACTACTTATGTTCGATGAACGTTACTAAATGATAGTTGCCTGGGATATATATATTCATATGGTATTTTACCGGTTGATAATCGTGGCCGTTGACTAACGTCGATCAAATATAAAAAAGTGAAACAGGATACTAAGATAAGGATCACACGAAAATAAAAACATCGTGTAGAATCAGGGAGAGAAACATATATTACAAACAAGGACAATAAAGGATATAGCTTGAAGTTACATACCAGAGATCATGAAAAATACGAGAGAGAATAGCAACAAGACCACAAATCATTTCAATTCTGAGCAATATCTAATCTACGATATCATCCCTAAAGTATCTGGTAGTCAAAGTTACTAGTTTTTTGGAATCTTCATTCAGGTAGGACAGCCTAGTGACATTTCTATTACAGTCTCATAAGTCAGCCAGATTGTTAACAAACATGGCATCAGCTTCGGTGAACATCCCACTGTCAACCAAATATATTTTATCTGCGACTGATTCCCAGTAGTATATACTACCCCGTAGTTTTTCTGATGATTATACATGGTTTATGAAACTTCCAACAAAAAGAACAGTGTAATTGGTACATTTGAAGCTAATTCGATTATATCGACAAATAATAACTTATGAGAGACCTGATGAAACCTGATTTCCCTATACAAAGCGTCTTTTTGGTGACTTGATGATGATACAAACTATTTTCATGAGGACTCGTAAGTGCATCCAATGATGGAAGCTTGAAGCTCAAAGGAAGTGAGTTTAAATTATACGCACATATTTAGGAATAACGATTTGTTAGTTAAATCGAAAACAGTGAAGTTACATTTGCCAATGAACATTTATACTTTTAAAACCAGATTGACTTCCTTTTCATAATACGGATGAAGAGATGACTATAAAATCTCCAATAATATTTGTTTACCATAAATCTATCACAAAAAGTCAATCGATTTATGAATTGAAGCAAGATGAAAACTGAATTTACAGGATTTAGGTAAACAAAACTACTTGCTTGTTGATTGTTTTTTAAATCGCATGATCTAAATAATGTGCATATAGGGATTAATACTTTTCACAAGTTACAGCCTGGTAGGAATAAAAACATTTGAAACTCTAGCATTGCACAATCTACTTGTTTTAATCATATGGATATATTCCTTTTTAAACTAAAATAAATAACTAGTACAAAAAAGACCAGAAGATAAAGCAAGAAATATGAGGTCAACACAAATTATCAAAAAAGCTTTTTAGACAAATAATCGTGACCAAAGTTCCGCTTTGAGGTTAAATTAATCACTGATAATTAAACTGTTCAGATTATTAGAATAAACTGTCTAACAGAGAAAAACCTACATAGTTAAATAACATATTTGAGATAATATTGTCACTATACCTTCTACACTGAAAACAGTAACAAACATAAAGAATCAGTTTTGAGTCTAAAGATTGAAGTGACAGCAGGTGAAGTACTTTGCTTGTAACAAGTACGTCACAGATCTCAATCTCAATTAGCACCATCAAATCTCACAAAAATCGTGTAGTACAAAGTGAAATAAGTAATCCAATACTTTAAAAATAATACGCACTGATGAACATATCTTGATTTACAAAAGATAAGAAGATACAGTTCTGCAATAAATCTATTTCACTAAACAGCTTTTGTGAGGCAATGGATTGAATAATTTCGACGCACTCAACCTAGACTATCATCATCATCATCTGACGATAGGTGAGGATGAGTCGTATAGAACCACTTATTCGGATTCCGAGTAAATTTGCTATAATGTTCGGTTAACTGGTAGTTTACGTAAAGTGATTAGTTTTAAATATAGTCCGCACAAACTTATACTGGCTGACAATAACAAAAACAGTAAGTAATTTTACTTAAGAAGGTATCAAAGTATGAATTCACCTACTATTCCGCGATATCCAAATGGTACATTCAAGGCTAATGATTAATACGTCTTATTTCAGATAATACAAAGACCAAATGGTCAGAATACATCGGTTTCAGACGGTTCTTGGTTGGAAAGAAAACATTCTTCAATGTCCCAGTAAGGAGAAATAGTGTGTATTGTTGAAAGGTATCAGGCTAGTACCTCAAAACATTTCCCACCAACAGTTCTCCAGCTAATATGATTTCATATAAATCAACTTTAAAACCATTCAGTGTACAAAAATTTACAAACTTGATAACCGCAGAACTTTTTTACCATTATAGTTAAACAATAAACGAGAAAATTTGTAGTAACATATTAAACATAATACATAGAGTTAGAAAAGTGCCTATCATCAAATTCGAATCCAATAATTCAATAGTAATGTAAACGTTGTATGACCCGGATGTCTGAGACTGAATATGGTCCAAGTAGATTGTTGTTAAGTCATAAAATTAGGATGAAACCTGTTTGTATTTTTCAAATCTTTATCTTGTTTCGAAACAGATGTTGGCTTTTAAATTTATTCTCTGAGTTGATAATGTTACATAACGTTACCTAACTCTCCAAATTTTGTGTAAACCGATTAGCACTGGAAATCTATTATATTTGTCATCCGGAATGGCAATGTGCGACTTAGTGATAAAAATGGTCTACTTCAGACACTCAGGTCTATGACTCTAACCATTTTTTACTTTTACTTGAATAACATTTTGGAGATTGGAGCTTTGTGTAAGCACATTGCTAAGTAAGATTAATGAGAAGCAAGCTAATATTTGAGGCTGTACAAGAAAGGTTCACTTCTTGATTTAGGTAAATGTTTAATTAATAAGCTTCATAGATAGTATGCTACTCGTACATCAATCAACTAGAACTGAAAGTAAAAACAAATAACTCAAAATTCCCAACGTGTTTTACACCAATTGCATACTTTTAGAGAACACCGTATAGCATAAAACTGAGTAGCTTCAGAAACCAGCTTTCATTGGGGTGAAATCTAATTTTAATCTTTTCAATACTAAGAGAATACTTTTTAGACAAAATATCTTCACAGTACTAACCTGTTCATGGCACGGATTGGCAACGCAAGAGCAGGATTTCTACAACTGAACAACATCTGGAAGTAAAAACAACTGCCAACCAACACGAAAGTCAGAATTTTCAAAACAAATGTCAAGACAGTTCTACTGTATGGGGCGGAAACTTGCGGAACCACGAATGCAATCGTCCACAAGGTACAAGTGTTTATTAACAGCAGTCTACGCAAGATACTGATGATCAGTTGGCCAAACACTATCAGCAACAACCTACTGTGGTAAGGAACAAACCAGATTCCAGCAGAGGAAGAAGCGCTGGAAGCGAATAGAACACATATTAAGGAAACCACCCAACTGCGTCACAAGACAAGCCCTTACTTGGAATCCTCAAGGTCAAAGGAAAAGAGGAAGACTAAAGAACACTTTAAGGCTGAGTATTGGAAACAAACATGAAAAGAATGAGGAGCAATTAGAAATAACTGAAAAAAGAAGGCCCAGGACAGAGAACCTTGGAGAATGTTGGTAGGCCGCCTATGCTCCATCGGGGGTAACAGGCATAAAAAAACTAACCTGTTCATAGATTGAACAAGTAGTCCGAGAATTCAGATTTCCAAGCGGTAATGCATCAGATGAACAAGTTGCATCACTACAAACCGATGTAGACATTTGATGTTTAGTAGTTTGTGTGGAAGATGAAGAAATTGTAGATGAACATAAAGAGAATGCTGTTGAAGTAGTTGGAGTCTGACCAATTGTATTATTCATCGATGAGGTGGGCTGCATTGGTGACTTATCTCTTTCGAAAATGTCAGACTTATGTGGACAAAGATTTAATGCATGACATTGACAAATCTTTCCTGACATTAAAAGTGATTGACTGACACGATGCAGTAACCGTCTAATGGCCTATAAATAGTAAAATATACATGGAATACACCGAGTGATATTAAACTAAACAAATGAAATTATACAATGACTTTGATTGCAAATTATTACATTTAGTTTCCAATTTATAAAATTAATCGATCTTTTTGTCGGTTATACGGATCTTCGTCCCGGTAGATCCGTTTCCTTAATAGAATATACTTTAAACCCTAATACAGGCAGATCAATATAGTGCTAGAAATCAACACAAAAATAACACATTTTAGTGGGAAATAACAATTCACCAATATTAAAGGTGTTACCTCTTTACGCCACTGTTAGGGAATTCCTACTAACTGCCTTCTCATGGCAGGGGAGTTGCTTGCGAAATTGAGAAGACGAACAGCGAGTCCGGTGATTTTACCGAGTTGGTGGAAATGGAGAATCCCTCTAGAGTTGGAGAACCCCGATTCCGAACCAGTGATATACATGAGCTTCAGGATCCTGAGGGAACGAATGGCGTACGACTATTATTAATCTCCGTCTACCATGGGACTGTATCTCCCAAGAAAACCATCTGTTTTGGTTTCGGCAGGCGGAAAGTATCCCAGCTTACTTATAAATTTAGTAATTTGTGTGGTACATAAACATTTAGGTGCCCCTTTGTATCAAGGTTCCTGTGTTTAAATAAAATCAAAGTTTTTAAATCTATGACCTAAAAAGTTATTCATTTAATCACACGAAGAAAAAAAATTAAGGTTGTATCGGGGAACAGTTGAAGTTTGTTAGATTTCAGCTATTTAATTAATCAACTAATCACGAAAGACATCAACATCGCTGACCATTCAAGTTGAACAGAAAGGAGAAAAATCCTGGTTGAAAGCATCAAGAAACCAGTTTGAGCAGCAGAGTATCTACGTTGTGGATGATTGAGCATATTATCTTAAATACCAACATTCATTATCATTTAATACATTACTGGAAAATACAAACAACATATGTGGGGAAATTAGGCTGATTTCACACCTAGACGTGAATGTGTATATTGGATATTAATCTACCACAAGTGATGACCGACTACAGTTACATTTCCAAATATTAAGATCGGATTTGATTCCATTGTTGGACAGGTTTATGGCAGAACCTGACACTGAAAGACACCACAGGACACAAAACTTTTGAAGCTATCCACTCGAACACTATTGGTCAGATTAGAGTTTACAACGAACTGTCAACGAATTTGTACATCTCAAATAGTGTCAATCAGGGCTGCTCACTGTCTCCTTCCATAGTTATTTTCCTCACAGATATTCTTTGGAAACCTCAACTTTACCCAATTTTTCAGGGATAAATTTCCATCCTGGAGACTAGTTTGTTGTCATGAGAATACGCAAATGATTTAGTCCTATTTCAAAAAGAGGCTGACAGCACAGTTTTTTGAGTGCCTTGAGTAACACTTAAAGCAAATTTGGGGTACGTTTCTCTTCTTCTTTACCTAAACATTGCTACAAAACTGGTTTAAACATCTAGATTGATCATAGGAATTAAATAAGTGGAGCGCGTTGACCAAGAAATCTTATTGACCTTGGACAGTTGGTGTCTGATAAAATCCAAACAGCAATTCAGAAACCTTGGTTGTTCATCAGTTAGTCTCTTCTTACGTTGATCGAATTTTGGTCTGTTAACTAAATACAGAGTGTATTGTGTAGTAATCGACTTTATATTATTCTGTAGATGTGAAACGTGATCTCTTAAGGTAGAAGAAAAGTGAATATGAGAAGTTTAATAATAAGTATCTTTGAAGCACTGCTCGCACATCACTGAATGAGCGAGTAAGTAATGTTGGGGTAAGGCACAGAGTACTAAGCACCATCATCAATTTAGTTGGAACATACATAACGTATGCCCAATTACCACCTCTCCAGACGTGAAATTTTAGTCGATATAGGGAGTACATGGAATCAATCAATAAAGTTGCTGACTCCTGATCTGAATACAAAATTCAAACTATCCAGGTACTTGTAACAATCCTAAAATATTTATCAGAATGGCAAAAATATGTTCCTCTTCAGTTTGAATTCGGGACCAGTCTATTACTCGAAATTTTTTTGTAAAATCTGGACGTCTGAAAAGTAGTTTCTTATCTAAGTAATCACTCATAAGACAAGAGTGTCAGAATCAAAGTCAAACAGCTTTTTAATAGTTTCATACTGATGACAACTGTATATGTAAAGTGAATAAACATAATGGATGGAATTGTGTCCAAAACTCCAATGAGAAATACAGCCCACTAAACCCATCTTCATTTGTAACAGTTTTAGGTGTCAAGACAATAATGGGAATCATATTATCACAAAATATCTTTGTTGTCTGACTACTAAGGTTATAGATATTTCCAATATATTTTGAAGGAAAAAAAAGCCTAGGAGCTGGAAAACATTTAATTGAACCTTCACTTAGTAGTTGAGAGGTTCGACTTGCGGCCTCCAAGTCCCGGATTCGAACACATCACTACCTACTTCAGTTTAGGAGACCAGATGGTATCATTAGCCCTCACACCTAGGATGTGACTCATACTTGAGTACCTAGTGAATTAATTGACCCACTTTTTAATTAGTGAACAACATTAAGCATATTCGAATTTTTGGTTTACTGTTAATACGATTTCGTAATAACCAAGTCAGTCAGTCAGTTACGACGCAATAACTAGCTGTTTAGGTTTGGTATTTTAAAATAAATAAAATGTAACCGCAATCTTTAGAAACACACATGCAAACTGTTTCTGTTCCTCAAAATTGTGCTAACAATACGCAATCATTAAAAAATACTACACACACATGATCGTAGGTAATATTAAACAGGTAGTCCAAAACTCTTGTGCACTAGTCAGGCTATTATTGATTCTGCTCATCATCGTAGTTAATAACTAAGTGTAAGACTATAAAGTACAATGAGAATTTTAAAACTGTGGACGTTGTAATTTAATGAGTGGAAGGAGACATTCAGCTTCGTTTTTTTCTTAATCTATTTGTCTCACTGATGCGATTCATACACAAACAAAAGAACATAATTGTAGTTACAAACCAACATGGAACGGAAAAGCATGCTACTCAAGAAAAACTATAACCTTCCAAAACGCTAAAGAAAATGCAATATAATCCAGAAAACGTACCAATCGTAAAGCACGTTTAGGTGGAAATTCATTGTCTTCATCATCTGTATGAGATGAATCCGATGAACTCTGAGAATATGATGTCGAAAATAATGTATTGGTAGTTGATGAAATGACTGAACCCTGATCGGTACATTCCCGGGCGTGTGAATTATCAGCATAATCAAATAATGGGCCATCTCGTTGTTTACATTTAGGTGAATGTAACTCCCAATAGTTCGAATTCTCAGGTAAGTGAAAATGTCGAAGCTAAATGGGTCAAAAGCATATGGTATCTGGTAAATAAAGCCGTTTAGTCGCAACAATAATTTTATACGACGTAAATATAAACAGGAAATTTTCTAAATTATACTGGGATGCATGGAACGATGATTTCTGGGAATAACACAGTTTAATCAATCGCCAAACACATTATTTGAGAAAGTTGGATGTAATTCATCTTCATGAAGGCGATCAACAGCTCACCAGAGAAATTCATATATAGCTATTGAGTAGAATTGTTATCAGCTGAAAAATTATCATTAAATCAACGTCACTCCAGGTACGTAGTACCGAAGAAGTTATATCACATTGTATCTGTCAAACTGTTCATAACGTTAACTGTTCTCGATAACCAACATATTCTCCATCCGAACTCAATTATATCAGACCAGTAGTGAGCAAGTGAAATCATATATCACAAACATATGACAGAAACCAACTATAATTACCAGACTTGAAAAATATGTTATATTAGTGTTTTGTTCTTGTCGAATATGAACTGTTATCATTCAATATGCGATTGACACAATCCCTTTGAAATTCATACTGAGACATCTAAATGATAATAAAACACGAAATGGGGGATATTTTAGATGTCTAGATTCTTATGAAAAGCCAATGTGCAACAGTTGGTGTTAGGTCTTGTATTCACGGCTAAACAAATGTTATGGAATTCATCAAACATATCTCCCAAACTATACATGTATTTGTACAAGGGGCTATACATTTTATGTGATCAATTATTTTTACTCATAAAACAAAATACTACGTACTAAATAGGGAGATACGCCCAACACTAATTCATTCTTATTATCAGTAAACTAAGTAGTGTTAGCCACTCTTAACTATATGATAACTCACTGAGTGTAACTATTATGTCAGAGTACATCACTGTGGTAACGTACATTTTTAACCTTCAAAGTGTTTCCTTTAGTAGTGCTAACGTTCGGTGGGAAAACGAATTGCTTCCATAGGGCATTGAAGATTCGACAACGAACTACTGCTAACTTGCAGCTATATGGTGCACGGAAAATTAATTGTTTGGAAAATTGTGATTAAACATGCTATTGATTTGGTTGTGGACAACTACCAAAAAACGATCAACAATAATGCTTTTTCTCTTTAGTGTGGTATAATGCTTATGTATGTGGTTAGATATAGGATTTGACCGAAGTATCTAGAGTGGTTCTAAACAATGAAATTACAGTATTAAACCAGATAACCAAACAGCAGTATATAAGATGCTGGGATTCGTCACCATTTAACGGAAAAATATAGTGACCAATGTTCTTGGTGAGCGCATAAAAAAAGTATATATGGTATAGTACGCAAAATTAGTAAAACCCACGAGAAAACTCACCAATTCCGCTTCTAGTATGGCTAAGAACTTGGCAGGCAATGGATTCTTTGGACGAGTTCGAACATTAGCAACATCTTCTGCAATCAACTGATCGTGTACGTCTAACAGACGATCCATACTAACCATTGCCGAAAAGTATGATTCGTTAGATTGAATAAACTTATTTGCGGAAAATAATGACTCTGTTGCTATTTGACGATCGGGAAAATTAGAATTTTTCGTAGTTGGAACACCTGTTTTGCGAAGTTGACTTTTAGAACGGAAATCAATGTGACTAAATGAAGGTGATGATGAGTGAAGACTAGACCCACTGCTTGGACCTCTTGGTGTTTCGGAAGACACATTAGTAGAGAAAGAACTGAGAGGTGTTGTGGGTAAATTTGTTGTCAATGTATTCGGAGGCAGGTCACCTAAATCATCAAAGCACTTCCTGCATATAGGACAGCTGTTGTTCTGTTCAATCCATAAATATAAACATGCAGAATGAAAAATATGTCCACAAGGGAGTTGACAAGCTTTGCACATTTTTTCCCAACAAATAGGACAATTTTCCTTCAACTACAATGGCAAGAAAAAAAATGTTATTTATTCACTAAGGCCGACCAGTTTGATTAAATTACGAACATGAAAATAAAAAAATTCGATGCTTTTGAAGTATTAAGTTGTACAATAAATTTAATCATGAGCTGATACCAGTTTGAGGACTAATAATAAGGTAAAAGCACGCTTCAACAGTCGAATTCCAACCGAAGAAGACTTACAGATCTTCTTTATCACAGTCTCAGTACACATGTCTGAAACGCAGTGTTTCAAGCAACAGATTTCCGTAGAAAACAGGTTGCAAAAATATATGAAAAAGAATGATCTAAACAATTGAATATTCAGATCTAATAAGTAATGGGAGATAAGGATAATTATCTAAAAGCCGAAGAACAAAACTGTAGTGTAACGTTCGTTCATTAGAAGTCAGTCAGCCAGTACGTACGTACATCAGTTCAGGTCATCAGAAGAAACCCTAACTAACTCAGCGTTCATGGTCAACCCCATTAGATAACCTACCATCAAACAAGCGTCTGCAGTCTAAAAAATATACTTCACGCAAAATGATATTCTAGTAAACTAACAAATTGACAGTAAAATATGCAAATTGGGAATGAGACAATGCATATATCGTGTTATGCATAAAGTGAAGTGAAAGTGTTAAAGAACTACTATCTTGTCTTTAATTTAAAAAAATTAGTGGTAAATGCAGAAAAAGATCTACATCAAAGTGAAAAACAGTGGTTAGTTGTCTTGTTTAATTGAATGCGGTTAGTGAAAATAGAGTAGAGTAACTAGCTGTGAAGTAAATATTCGTGCCTAAACTTACAGTGGGATACATGAAAAATTAGATTTGACGATAGTATATGAAATTTAATTATTAATAATGCCAACTTACCTTGTTAACAAGGGTACCCTACACTGATTAGTTCACATTAACAGAATGTTAAATTTGAGATTTACCACAAAAACTTACCAGTTCCAGTGACTACGTTCAACAGACGTGCCGGTAGTCTCTTTTACAAACCTTTCCATCCTACCTTTTCTCATCATATTCGCAAAACCCAGTCTATCTTATTATAACTGCTACTACTATATTTTGACTCACTTTCTATGGCCTCGTCACTCTCATCTCGTTGTGCTACTATAGTGAGGTTAGGTTAATCACGGAATATTAGTGTCAGGTTCTACAGTAATTATGACGGGCTAATACTTAAAGGTAAAGTAGGATACTAATAACAGAAAAACCAGAGTGGAAATGATATGAAAAGTGTGAAACGAAAATATGAGGAATAGATAAAGTTGCATGATGAAAAGCATGGAATAACAGAACGCTCATTACTCAAGGAGAACTTAAAAGACAAAGCCCAAATAGTGATGTGGATGAGGGTATTATAATTGTTGTATATGTTTACGTTACCGAGCTTTTTTGATGACTGACTAACAAGGTAAGACATAGACTAATGGCGAAACTTTAGTTTATGGGCTAACCAATGAAATCAAATTTTTAAGTCTTGGATTTCGGAGCGAGAATTACTCATCTATAGGGTTAAGCAGAGTCTAGGCATTATAGTTGACCAGTTAGTAATTAAAACACAAGCTCTAGTTCCCAACTCTAACCCTGAATCCGCACAAATTAATAACCCGCTTAAAACCTTAGGTGAGTAGTTTTTCTCAAAACTTCAGCGCCACATAAAGGTTATTCATAAATTATAGTCTCACCAATTATTTTATAGCATACGTGTTGCAATTATTCTGTGCGCACAAGTTAGATAGCCATTTCTTACAACTTAAGCAAAGATTATATATATTCCAGTTAAAAAACATGACACCGTGTCGTCTTCAAGCAGGGTTTTTCACAAACAAATATAAAGGTTGGTGTCCAGTCAGGTGTCGCTGTATATGTTTAGCGGCTCATGACTGGACTCCCATATGGACGAATGACCGACTGTGCAATGAAATAGATCTGCCTGTCCATTCCCGTATATCATACTTAGGCAAACACCGTTCTTGCGACGGTGGTAGTTGGTGGGAAGCCAAATACGGTGTTGCAGATTAATTTATTTCAAGCGTTGATCTATGCAGACAGACATGAGGATGGAGAGCGTTCAAGCAAGACGAGATGAACTGGAGAAGGCGAGCGAGCAAACTCTCCGCGTGCTGAAGAATGACTAAGTATTTATAATCAAGCAACAGTAGGCTAGACATGTAATAAGCGGGTAAGCATGCACACACACAAGCACACGTGCAATAATCCATACCGTTATCGAATTATTACAAATACAAAAATATGATCGATACTATTATCTCGAATAATTTAAACGACTAAGCATTGAAGTATAGGGAATAAATGGTGAGATGCTACATATGCATTCACAAACTTATGGACTACATCTACTCCAGAAACAAATAGGACTAAACACTGCTACATAGAGCGAGGATAGAGACCACAGCTGATCGTCAAGTAGTTACAACATTAACTGACAACTTTGAGACCATCATTTGTATCGGACGATTGAGCAAACATAATACAAACCAAATGGGACTAGAAGGCGAAGATAAGGCAATCTTAACAAATGTTAGATGCACTACATCAGATGATAAATAACAGTGTTTCACTGAACGAGTGTTCTATGTGAAGCATGATATTTTATGGTGAAACATAACTAAATACTTACTTTGGAATAGACTATTCGAGAATCCAAACTTTTTAGTGCGATTTTATAGCGTTTGTGATGCGCAAAACGCTTTGACACTTTGTAATATAAATGTTGAAGATGCAAGGCAACAATGATACTTGACATGTTTAACTGAAGTTTATTCCAAAATAACATATGTAGGTTATGCAACGCGTCGCCAGAATCAGCAATGGTATCAAAAAGCAAATCTGTGTAATAAAGAAGCACGAAGCGGTGATAAACTTGATCATCATTATCCGATCGAGAGGCGACTTCGCAATAAAGATAAACTACATACCACGTGATAACATGAACAGTGACAATCAAAAGTTGGAATACCTCGGCAAGCATGAAAAACATAGTATTAAGAGAATGCTTTGCACCCACGATGATTGAGATAATCATTAGGACGTTGCTAAAAAGCAGAAGCAAGCAACATAATAGAAATATTCGGGCTTGATAGGTTAGCGAAAAATCAGAACGAAGAGTGTATTGAGAACGATCTCTGATAAGTCCGGTAAGAAGACGCAGAAAGCCAAGAATGGTGAACCACGTCGCCCAAAGAAGGAGTTCATGAAGAGCTTCTACGTGGAGGATACCATAAATAAAAACCACCTTATAAAAATAAAACTGGAAAAATTTTCTCTAATATGTGAATCTTCAGCACTTCGAAGCTGGCCAAAAAACAAATTTTGTAATTCCCTTGCAGCACACATAAGCAAACAATATCCAGAGTTTATGAAGCTCCAAAAGCACCAACTATCTTCTAGGCAGAAAGTTAATGCTAGTTTCGGGTAGTACGGTGAAGTAGAGTTCCTAAATCCCTCAGATTCACATCCTTAGTCAACCGGAAAGACACGTGAAGTACAGATCCTACAAGTGATAGTGTCGTGTAAAACACATATGTGGAAAAGTTCGGTATGGTATGGCGCTCACAAATTACCAGAGCCTGCGATGTAGCGGTCAAATTGTTTTTTTGGTGCTCTTCCCAATAGAACAAATATCTTTTGACGTGAGGTAGCATAAAATCGATTGTATTTTGCCTATGAGATGGTTCGCTGCTTTTTATTTTCGGTAAAGGTTCTAGGCATTTCTTAAGGTGGTCGTAATGATATAAAAAAGTCTATCCATAAAAAAGATTTACTAATGTTTAGTCAAGCTGACTGACGTTTTTCTCAAAGCTGGGAGGATTTCTGAAAAGCAAACATAAGCTATCACCATTTTCCAGTTCAAAGTCATTTATTATAACTGTGGGATAACAAACGAATATATGATCATATTGCCTATTGATTTTCAACCGTACCGAAAGAAGTAAAACGGATGTTGCCAAAGAAAGCATCGATTTTATTTGCTCGTGAAAAACCGATATGGATATGTAAATGCGAATAAATAAATAAGCTAATTAATCTGTAGTGAGTATTGTGTAAGAAAACAGGATTTTCGGGATAGAAAAGGAAACAGGGATAATAATCAATTTAGAATAATCTACTGATCTGAGGAAATTATAGTAACAATGACTAGCGAGTTTCTAGTCACACATCAGCCACATCTAGTTCAAGCGGCTGATGATAATCCATATGCAATATACGTTTATCAAGCTGCTTCTTGAAGCCATCCATTGAAGTTCTGTGATCACTTACGACGGGAATTCATTGCAAGTATTGACAACTCTTAATGAGAAGAAGTTGGACGAAACTTGGCGATCTTTATTTGATATGTACTTTTTCGAGTGTTACCACGAGGAGATTGCTGGTGGTGGTTTGGTCAGGTGCGCCTGTTGGTATTATCCAAATACACTGCAGGTTGAATGCCATCATTAATTCACCACTGGTTCTCCTGTAACTCAGCGAGGATAATCCCACGTATCGCGTTCTGTGTTCGTAAGGTTTGTTTCTCAGCCCTATCAGCCATTTAGTTATTCGTCTGCATTTGATCCAGAAGGTTCACGTTTTAGTCTAAGTGGATGTGACAACATCGTGAACTCCAATGTGTGGCTGTGAGTATGTGTTGAATAGAGACAACAACAAGTGTTGAGTGATTGCGCGAAATTGTTTACTCATGAAAGGAAGAGTTGCGTTAGCCTTAACTGTATCCCGTAAGTAGTTTGAAGTGCTGTTTAGGCCTTGTATTGATAATGAAGTTTCAACCCGCTGTCCCACTGACAATCCCTTTATTGCTAAAAGGTTATTTTGAAGCTCAAACGAATACTTTCCGCTTCGCATAGAACTCTAGATCCTTGCATCATCTGCATTGAATAATGTTGAGCAGTTAATTTTATCTGATAAGTCAATTATAAATCTGAGGAAGATCAGTGAACCTAAGATTGTCCATTAAGAAACTACTGAAGCTGAAACTCTACTGATCAAATGCACCCTATTTATGTTTTTACAAAACTTTCCGTTATCTGCGCCAAGAGAAAAATGAATCAGTCAAGGTCATCGACACGACTTTAGCGATTAGGAGTACGTGAGGTACTGGTCGAAGGCTTTCTCAGTGTAGCGGAATGGTGTATGAAGAGGGAGACCACCTGTCTCATTTATTGAAGAAGATTGGATGCACATGACCTGTCTTTCTTAAACCCATGATGAATTTCATGAGGGTTGTTTTTATGATCCATATTCTCCCTCATTCGTTCACATCTCAGTCACCCGATTTCCCTCAACCGTATCGATAGTAATGCGACTGGATCATATCAGGCTGGATGCTTCCTATCTCCTGCTTTGGATTGGAGAGAGAGTAGCTTATTCGCATTCAGCTAGGAGTTGGTGTGCTTCCAGTCAGTACCTGAAAAGGTTACATACGGATAAACTAAGGGCTTCCGCACACTATTTCGAGATTATAGGTTAGACTTTGTCACGTTCTGGTAACTTTACTGGAACCGTAGATTTGATGTGTCTAAATACTAAGCTGGGAGTAAGTGAGATATTCCTTAAGTCACCATTTGGCAATAGGTTTGAGTAGCACCTTCCACGTATGCAGGGTTCTCTACTTCGCCTGTGCCAAGCGTTTCAGTGCCTCGTTTAGCCCACGTTCTTCTCCTTCCAGGTGTGCGATTGCCTCGAAGTTCATAAAGTAGGAAAGCACTCTGAATGATATTTCTTACTGTTCATTATTATCCATAGGGCATTTAGAATATACTCTCTAGTATGTTAAAGTACGACCCCTGAGTTTGTCGGCTACGATCATATTAAATTTTACTGCGCCTTGGTTACTGTTTCCTACTGGTATGTGAACATGTGTATCCTCGATTAGGAGCAGATCATTTATTAACAGATAACCCAAGTTTGAGTGTTTTCTATCCTTACTTCATCTAGTTTAGTTACGTAAATGCTCAAAAATCAGGAACTTCTGATAGCTGTGACAAGTCGCTTTGGGAATCTTCCTGTGGGTGTTGCACCGTGTTTGACCAGATTCGGGAAGAGAGTGTTTGATCTACCCTAGGAGTGGTAGCTGCAATATCGCTTCAATCAACTTGTCTTTCTGGGGTTGAATTAATGAGCAGGACCGGTAAATACCTTCAATCAAGTATTTAATGCCGTTCTTGTTTAAGCAAC